CCCGTGGTTTGAAAACATCGGGAGGGTTGGACTCGAGCCGCTGGTAACTTACCCATCAAGGGTGTTATGGAAACTGGTCTATTTTTGAAGCAACGGACACATTTTGAAAGTACCGTACGGATAAGGAGTCTTAACCCGACAATCCAGAATTTTCTTTGAATTAAAGATTGTAGGGTACGGGGACCACAATGAAGATATTTCAAATGAAAATGGTCGACAATCAGTCGAGAAATAGGACACTGTTTCGGTAAAAGCAGAGGATGTAACGCTGATGGCGATAGCTTCGCTTCATCTATACGTCCCCCCACTCGCATCAAACCATCCTCATCAAGGAATGGAGATAACTTTTGAACGGATTTTTCACATTGTTCATGCTTTTGCACTTGTTGGACTTGCGATGACATGTAGTGATTTTGAGTGAACTTAACTAGTGTCTTCATTGATTTATCGAGCTCGGAACTTGTAAGCGCGGAGAATTTTCGATCTGACTTTGCCTTTTGTAAGTTACTAACGAATCGAATACACCATGCCAAAGTTCTTAGAAGTTTTGTAAAAGAAGAACACCTTAAAGTTAAATTTAAAAATATATTTTCTTCTTGGACGGTGATAAAACTCTCTGTTACTATAGGTTTCAATTCAGGCAGCTCTTCCTTAGCGAGCAATGTCTGCTTGGAAGGCCAAAAGCATGGCAACTTCCGTAACCATGTAGGGCCTTTCCACCATAATGGGTGGCCAGCAAGTTCCGTGCAAGATACACCACGACTGCAGCAGTCGGCCGGATTGTCCTCTGTAGAAACATGATACCAGGACTCCGGACTGACCGAGTCGGTAGCCTGAACTACTCGATTGGCAATATACATTTTCAGTAAATGGGGTGCTGTATTTAACCACGACAGAGTAGTCGTGCTGTCGGAATAAGCTCGGACGGATGTGATTGCAAGTTTTTCCTTAAGGAGCTTATTCATGTGAGAAAGTACTCGTGCCAAGAGTACTGCTGCGCATAGCTCCAGCCTATTCACGGTCGTTGGTTTTATAGGGGCAACACGAGACTTCCCTATCAACAAATTACTAACAGTGGAATGTTCAGTAACCACACAGAGATACACGCAACAACCATATCCCTTTAAAGAGCCATCACAAAAGCCCACCAAATGTACCTCCATAGGATTAGAAGGTACAACAAGCCTAGGAAGAGAGATTTGTTGTAAATCCGACAAATTCGCAGCTATCAAATGCCACCTTTTCGCTAATTCTTTGGGAATAGCTTCATCCCAAGACAAATTGGAGCGCCACATCTCTTGCAATAAAGATTTGGCCGCGAAAACCACTGGGCTTATCCAACCCAAGGGATCATAAATCCGGGCTACTATGGATAGGATGGATCTCTTGGTGAACTGCACATTAAAAGAGTCTGAGAAGCTATACGAGAAGTTGTCATCTGATGGATTCCAACGTATTCCTAATATCTTGACAAACTCATTTCCTGATTCTTCGAAGGATTTAGAAGTTTGACAATGATCCGGAGGAACATCTGACAATAGACTCGGCGTATTGGTACTCCACTTTCGGAGCTCAAAGTGACCTTTTGATAGCAAAGATACGATATCCGACTTTAACTGCCTAGCTTCCTCGAGTGACGAACATCCTGTAGTAATATCATCCATGAACGTTTCTTCGAACAGAACTTCAGATGCACGACTCGAGTATTCAGAGCCGTGGTCTTCCGCAAGTTGACGGAGGGTTCGAATGGCCAAGTAAGGGGAACTACTGACACCATAAGTCACGGTGTTTAGCTCGTATTCACTTAATGGCATGCTAGGGTCGGGACGCCAAAGAATGTGTTGATAACACCTATCTTCGGGTCTGATTAAGATCTGACGGTACATTTTACAAATGTCTGCGGTGAAAACTACCTTATGAAGTCGAAATTTTGTAATTAAATCGATAATGTCAATTTGAAGTTTTGGTCCAACGGAAACGATATTATTTAAGGAAAGGTTGTTATTAGTTTTACAACTCGCGTCGAAAACTACTCTAAGCTGAGTCGTAGAACTCTCTGGACGCAAAACGCAATGATGTGGAATTAAGTACCGATCAGAAGACGAAGTGGCTATGGGCTGCATGTGTCCTAGCTCTTCGTACTGTCTCATGAAGTTTTCGTACTCGTTCTTTAAATCTGATTGCTTAGCGAGTCGGTTTTCTAAATTAAGAAAACGATTGAAGGCTTGACGGTATGAATCTCCTAAAGGTGGAGCATCATCTTTTAATAAGATGGGTACTACATAACGACCGTCGGCAGTACGGTAAGTACCTTCTTTATACTTTTGTTCACAATACTCGTCCTCGGGAGCGGAAATTTTACATTTCGGCGGTTCCTCGGACTCCCAGAACCGTTGAACTATCTCATCCAGCGAGCAAGAAGACGCGAGAAGTGACGTAACGGGTTCACTGGGAATTTTAATTTCCGTGTTATGAAAATATTGACCGGTTATCACCCAGCCGAACACACTGGACAATGCACAAGGTAGTCCGGGTCCGGGACTGTAACGTGACCCAGTATATATTTGATCAAAACACTCAACACCTAACAAAAGATCGATCGGACCCGATTTATAAAATTCACGGTCTGCGAGATCAAGATGCAGGAAGGAATCCTTGACGAACAACGGTAGCTCGGTCGAGGGCATCGCGGAAGTAATTTTAGGTAAAACTATCAAAGGCAAATCGAACTTAGGTGATTCACTCGAACGAGGTATTATCGAACCAGACGTGTAACCCTTTATATTACAAACAAAGTTTTGACCAAGACCAGTAACATTTAAGTTACATTTTTTAATGGGCAAACCCAAGCGACGTGCACACGCACTCGTTATAAAAGAATCCATCGAACCGCTGTCAATAAGGGTGCGCGCATACTGAAGCGAGCCATCCGCGTGATGTATTCGTACTACCGCCGACCCTAATATTTTCGTACTGTTAATGGAGGTAGCACTACTCGAATCATTTGACTTGGTCGTGCTAGCAAGCGCGGTACTCGGGTTAACGGTGTCAGACAAGCTTGAATTAACAGTCAGAGTTAATAAACTTTTATTTTCGACATGCAACAGTGTGTTATGTTTCGTATTGCAAATGAAACAAGTGGACTTCGATTTACAACTGTCACTATCGTGACCTGGTCTTAAGCAATTTCTACATAACTTTAATTCTTGAACAATTTTCTCCCGCTGATCCATAGTCATAGAGTGCATTTTACCACACCGATAAATGGAATGATTTTCATTACAACATACACAAACTAATTGATTGGATTTGTTACTATTATTGTTGTTACTAGATCCTACGAATGACGATCTTCGCGGGTCTTTTGTTGCACGTGTAGCATCGGCTTTATTATTGTTACTACGAGATTGCTTAATTGTTGAGTTTGCTGTAGTGGTCGAAATGGGCTGACTCACTTCCAGAATTTTTATATAATTTTGTAAATAAACAACCAAGTCGTTAAATTTTGGAATTTGGTTAGTATTTTGTAATTCAAACCGTCTTTTGGTTTCAAGGTCAAGAGGTCGTGACGCAATGTAAAACAAAATAAATTCGGATAAATCTTCAATATTTAATGCACGTAAGGCGTTAACACTTTCATAAAGTACGTTTGTGAAGTCAGATAAATTAGCCAATGATGGCCTCTGAATAGGCGTCACCATAAACAACTTTTCTAAATAAGTTGTCGCCAAAATGCGTTTGTTGTCGTATCTTTCTAGTAAGGCACTGTAAACAACGGAATAATTAGCTAAAGTTATAGGAACACCCTTGGCGAGTGTCAGTGCGCAACCCGACAAACAGGAGAGCAGATAATGGAATTTCTCAATATCTGACAGCGAGCCATTATTATGAACAAGCGGAACGTAACTATCTTTAAATGTCTGCCAATTTTCTATCTTACCATCAAATTTCGGAATTTGCAATTTAGGCAACTTTACTTGTGTATTAGACGAGTGACGACTAGGCCCAGCACTGGGCTCTGACGTAGCACTTGAGGTCGTACTCGCACCAAGGGAGTCGGCGAACTCAACCGCCGCGTAATATAACTCGTCGAATGACAATAAAGGTTTATTATCGAACTTATATTCCGGATTTAATTTTAATTGTAATTTATTGAAGTTTTCATGAGATTCTATGAAATTATCTCTAATTTTCTCAATCGACTTATATCTCGCCTTAAATGTTGATAATTTAGTACTATCTACCATAGCCCTTTTAGCTAGATCGTAAATAATCTGCACATTTCTAAACTCATATTCACGCCTGTTAATACTCGACTGTAACTCGACTTCGGCCATCTTGTTTTGGATACGAAAACAATAATAATAAATTCAAGGTTTGTACGCACTTCGGTAATAACGAGAATCGTCTCCGAACCGCAACGCAATCGGCAACGATAGTCCGCTATATAGCGCGTAGGTATAATATGTATACCCGCGCAACAAAATGTAAACAAACGAACGATCCAAAACCACGAAATTGCTTAATTATATTTATATTGAGCTTAGTTATTGTGTATTGTTCGTATTTATTTGTTAGTAAGATTCAGCTGTACGAGCTAATATGTACCTACTTTACTTTATGTTTTATCTACGAGAAATTTCGAGCACAACTATCATAAGAAACACTTCAAAACCTAAACCAGGCAATGCAGCAACTTTCTATGAATAAGTATTTGTACGAGTATGTATTATTTAGATTCTAAAATAAAGCACACTGGATTTACTTTTACATAGGAGGTAGATACAATACGAGTATCTAGTACCTACACAGCGCCGAGCGAGCGGCCGAGCGACCACGCGGTCTAATGTAGGTACGAACGAAGTAGGTAATAATATTTAAGAAGAAAACTATGAATTCGTGGCAGTTTTAGCCACTTATATTATTCACTGAATTTAAATTATTTGTTAATAAACATTAACGAGATTTACGTAGCATAAATCGTAAAAATTTTAAATGAAATGAAATACGTGAGGTACTTTGTCCTCACAGGAGGCACCAAATAATGGTTGAACCTCGCTGGAGTAGCCACTGCATTGACCTGAATTTAGTCTTGACGAAATCCTGTGACCATCAAGTAGGGAATGCATAAACTAACCTGGATGCAGATCGGGAGTTGACGGGAACTTCACCAACGACGGGGCGTAAGCCGGCCGGCCAGCTATTTCTCGAACCACAGAACTTGCACAGTTTTGTTTGCTATCACCAAGTCAGGCAGGATTGATCGAACACCAAAAACAGTCAGTGAACCACTAGCGAGGTGTTTAACATGTAATATTAATTATTTTTGCGGACACTTCGCGACGACGCTTAAACCGCCATTCTTCCTTTTGGATTAGTTTCTTTTCCTGCCACTGCGCGCTGCGCTGCGCGCGCATCGATAAATTGTAGGACGCTGTCGCATGTACTTTGAGCCCGGTAATGTTGGCGGTAAATTTAAATTAGGAGAGGAAATATTTTGGATATAGGATTATTACAGGATCGGTTTGATGTTTATACACATATATTTGAAAATCGATTCGATTCGATTTTTATGTATAAGAATAAGCTTCCTACCCTACCTACCTTACCTACCCTACCTACCCTACCTACCCTACCTACCCTACCTACCCTACCTACCCTACCTACCCTACCTACCCTACCTACCCTACCTACCCTACCTACCCTACCTACCCTACCTACCCTACCTACCCTACCTACCCTACCTACCCTACCTATCCTACCTACCATACCTACCATACCTACCCTACCTACCTTACCTGCCCTACCTGCCCTACCTACCCTACCTACCCTACCTACCTTACCTACCTTACCTACCCTACCTACCCTACCTACCCTACCTACCCTACCTCCCCTCCCTACCCTACCTTCCCTACCTACCCTACCTACCCTACCTACCCTACCTACCCTACCTACCCTACCTACCCTACCTACCCTACCTACCCAACCTACCCTACCTACCCTACCTACCCTACCTACCCTACCTACCCTACCTACCCTACCTACCCTACCTACCCTACCTACCCTACCTACCCTACCTACCCTACCTACCCTACCTACCCTACCTACCCTACCTACCCTACCTACCCTACCTACCCTACCTACCCTACCTACCCTACCTACCGTACCTACCCTACCTACCCTACCTACCCTACCTACCCTACCTACCCTACCTACCCTACCTACCCTACCTACCCTACCTACCCTACCTACCCTACCTACCCTACCTACCCTACCTACCCTACCTACCCTACCTACCCTACCTACCCTACCTACCCTACCTACCCTACCTACCCTACCTACCCTACCTACCCTACCTACCCTACCTACCCTACCTACCCTACCTACCCTACCTACCCTACCTACCCTACCTACCCTATCTACCCTACCTACCCTACCTACCCTACCTACCCTACCTACCCTACCTACCCTACCTACCCTACCTACCCTACCTACCCTACCTACCCTACCTACCCTACCTACCCTACCTACCCAATAAGCAGATGTGTAATCTGCTTATTGTCAAAGAACCGTCAGCAATGTTACGATAGCACACAAACACGTAGTGAGAGCAACCCGAAACGCAATATTTTCTATTGAAAAATTCCTTAGACTTTTCCAATACAAATCCGCTGTGTCATGTACACATGCATCCTGCGCCTTATTCCTAAGAGCATAAGGACGATTGTTTCCCTACATTCAGAAAGCTGAGATACATTATCTGTTTACATTTCTCACACAGTAAAAGTCACCTTTATAAAATACTTATAGAAAACTGATTACGTAAGACGGTCTAACTAACTGAAACGTACTGGATATGATTCATAGCGTTTGTTCTTGACCTTGTTGAAGCTATGAACTGCTTAATTTGCGTGTCACGCCAATATTTACCGACTTTTGTTTAATCTAAGCAAAATATGTGGCTCGGTTTTTTTGTTGGGGATTTACATATTAATAGTGTGTTTGTGTTAAGTCTAGGTGCCTTTAAGTCAGCTGGCGGCCTCAGCCTAGAGCAAGAGAAGGAACGTGGGGTTTTTAGTCAGTAATAGCCTGATACTCCCACTCTTCTCAAACTGGGTCAGTAATCTGGGAGATGTCATTTGATGATTTTCCCCTCACAAAACAGGTGCTTTTAAGTGCTAACATAACTCACTTGATCAGGAAATGTGAACTAGATGTAATAACAAAGTCAAAGATAATTAATTGATACCTTTGTCTTTGGTAAAATTCAAAAAATTACAAAATGACATGACAAAATATGAATCAAATATTAATGGTTCCATTAAACAGGGTTGACAAGGAGATAATGGGATCGTTTTAGTCAGTAGGTAAGAGTGTGTTACTCCTTCTCGCCCGCCCAGGACGGGAGAAGTCATTAAAGGTGACCATTAAGAAAATATAGGCATTCATTAAAAACTTGAAATTTTTCAATATAAATGGCAAAGACAAAAAGGGCATATTTCTAATTTATCAATTTGCTAATAAAACGAATATCAAAGACACAGACAATACGTCATAATATACCAAGACCATGAACTAATACTTGTATGAGCTCTGAGATGCGGCTTTTAGACGTCAGATTAACACATCGAATACACATTAATGGACAATAATAATGGAATGGAATAAAAAGAGTTTTTTTGCGAAATAGAATAAACTCTTTTAAAACTTAGAAAAAGAACAAGATACTCCCGTTTGTGCATGTTATACTAAAATTTAACCAATTTGCAGCTCTTTATTTATGTAGAGGTAGAAACGAAACAATGGTTTAGAAAAGATTTATTTGAGTAAAAAATTCTTTTATAAAATGTTTTTAAGTTTAGACAATTGTCATTCCATTTAAAAGAATTTTAATACTTTTTAATACACAATTATTCTTTCTTTTGATCATGTAGTTGATGATATGTATAAATAAGGCGAATACGCTAATCTTGAGTTACACGACGCCCTTACAAAAGTTTCTTTGAAAACCAAAAAAACAACAAGTTTAAAGTTTGGAACACCCGTGCTATGGCACGAATTGGCCGGAAAGATCGGTCAACCAACGCTTGCTTAATGTTTCCTCAAAACTCTAACGACCTAAAGGGTGACAATGCGCTTAAAGGTAAAGATCTCTTATGTTGCACATCAGAAGAACTACATCAGGTTTATCTGTCAGCTCTTTTGCTAAATTTAAAAATACCTATAAGCAAAGAAATTGAAGTCTACTCCAACTTCTGCTTCTGCAGTCGCTTTACCAATTATTCAACCAAAGGAGCAATCCATCGATCGGTAATAACCGTATAGCTCTCATTTTAACCACGAACAACCGGTGAACTTTGTAATAAAAATATAAACAAAACTGCGTACAAATTATTCCCTCACTTCGAGTATCTAGGTAAAGTTCGTTTTTTGTTGTAAATTTACTAAGAGGACTTTGGCAACAACTTTGAACAAATATCCAAAACAAAACATTAAACACAAGGAGATTATCTACAATAATAAAGTTATGTTTTTCACTTTTCTTTGCTATCGTTACAATAAGTAGTACGCTAATGTTTCGTGGAACAGTCGCAGTTCAATGACCTTTTAGTTTTATGTAATCAATGTTGTTCTATGTAACATAATTTAATGTACAGTTATAACTATTATTATGTCCATTGTGTACTAACTATATTTATATCCTATTGAATGCCAAAGAAAAATTAACGAAAATGTGTGAAATATTATATTAATAAGTATGATATATTTTATTCGATAATGTTGGAACGTTGGATGTTTACCTCTTTAAACGCGGTAATCACCAGAACTACTGGTCCCAATTTGACAATTCTTTTTGTGTTCCAAAAAGGTTATCGGCTGAAAGACATCACTGTATCATTCATAGGAACCGAACAGCGGATGAAACTGCGTGGGAAAAGAGCGTAGTTTAAAATGTATTATGTCAGTCGAGAACCTTAGGCCTCATATCTACTAGACGACAAATGACATGCAACACGTGACGCTTCACAAGAAGAGATGTTGCCAGTTAGCGCGCAACACGACGCTCTCTTGTTTCTTTTTTTGATAAAGCATTCATTATTTTTGCTTAATGTAGTTTGTACAACGAATGTGTTCCACCAATAAACTCTAATTTCTCTAAATGGGATTTTTTTTTTTGTGAGGGTAAAATCATCAAATGACTTCTCCCGCCCAGGGCCGGGTGGGAGGGAGTGTCAGACTCTTACTGACTAAAAACCCCCCGTTCCTTCTCCTGCTCTGGGTCGAGGGTGCGGTGCCTCATTGCGCTTTCCCCGCAACCCCGGCTGAACATCAGCCCTTTAAGGCCCCGTCTGTGGTGGTCTATTGTTTCTTTGAAGCGCGCGCGGAACGCTACGCGCCGTTCGCTTGGTTCTCTTAATGGGATAAGGTGGCGTCTGATCAATCAACTTCAACCATTGACGAGAGGAATCACAAGTTCATCACTGGCCTCTTAAGGGATGACATGGCCTCAGGGATAAGTTGACGTTGAGCAACAAGAAAAAAATTAATATTTGGTACTATTATATTTGACGTTCCATTTATCTTTCTCTGGCCGATGGAGAGTTCACTGGTTGTAGACAATTAATATCAATTTCCTTAAGACCCCGTACACCTGATTTAATGTTGTAAGAAAAATAGGTTGCCTTTTTTATATTAAAAAGCAATTTTTTATTGTTTGTATATTTGAATTACTAGCTTCTGGAGTGATTTGAAAAATTATCTTCGATCTGTGGTGGTTTATTAGCTCTTTCAGGCTCGCGCAGAAGGCGAAACGCCGTACGCCTGCATCTGTTTTTAGTCAGGCAGCTAGCTATCCATGCTTACCGTTCATTAAACCCTCGGTTAAGGTGGCAAGAACTCGCCTATAGTAATAGACTTCGTCAAGTACTGATTAAGAACCAAGAAATAAGAACTCCAGGTACATCTTTTAAAATACAAGGGAAATTGACAGTTTGAAACCAGTCTTTAAAATTTTGATCAAAAGCACCATAATATACAAAAAACCAATTACAGGATTTTCACGATTAGTAATTGAAAATAGAAAAACACGCTTAGGTACATAACTATGAATTCAACTAAAATTAACTAAAAAAGTATAATGATGAACACGCTATGCAGCCTTATTATTTTCTACAATAAATCAGAAAGCAATCAACTTGAAATCAAAGCATTCTAAAAACGTCTGATGGCTTCAAAGAAATTGTTGTAGCAGAATCGTTTTTACAAATTGCACTAATAGGAACCGACTCGAACCAAGTAACAAGAGCAACTTGTGAATTTTCCAGAAAATTCTAAACGTTTACAAGAAAAATTAATTTAATAAAAATACTACAATTTACTGCAGTTGAGTGGTCAAAAAGCTAGACTGAAGTAAAGGCTGCAGCTGCAATTTATAGAATTCTTTCATTTTAAATAGGTAACAGTTCTAGATCCTTCTAGATAGAGCATCGTGTTATAAAGGGTTATTAGTCTACTACCATAGACGATTACAATTTTAGCACGGCTCCAAAAACAAACAAAAAATGTAGAAACTTGTATTGAAGGGCTTACTTACTTAACAATTTTTCGAGACAACTTGATTAGTTTCAAGCTACGCTAGGAGCTCATATTAATTTGCTCGCACGAAATACCACACAGCGAATGCCAAAGTAAAACTCTTCGGTCCTCAGTCTTGTTTCCGGTCACATTTTATGCAACGAAATGTACCTAATATAATACATAATAAAGTTTAACTTCTATTCACTTTAAAACCATTTCACACTCAATTCTTCAATATCTCTATCTATCTTCTATAAATAACGTTCTATAAAGTGCACACAATACAACTGCAAATAGGTATCGTTTGTAAACGATTTCTCAAGCAGCTTTGACACAGTTCATTGGTTTACAAACTTTTATAAAAATGGTTACGAGTGCTATGTTACTGTAAAGTGATATTTTATAAGTCTGAAGCGGTTGAAATGAACAAATTTGGGATGTATTTTCGATTGATTAGCCTGTAAAAAAGTTTCATAAAAGTATGAAATGGTTTATTTTCGTGTAGAAAATAAAGTCGTATTTTGCGGCGCTCTTTTAGAGTGCTTGCAGTGTTGCGTTGGGTCTCGTAACCGTGTGAGCTGTCTCTAATATTAACAGCTTTGAGAAATGTTACGCCATGTTATCTCCGAAACTGGAAAGAGGTGCTACTGGCAATGGTTTTTAGTTTCATGTAATCGTTTATGTAATTTTTTTTAGAAGTGGGTGCGTTTACATACATACATACAATGTCACATACACAAGGCACCTAGACCCGGAACAACAATTTATGGATCACACAAAGAGTTGTTCCGTGGAATCGAACCCGCGACACACAAAACAAAATTACCACGACCGAGCGATATACCGCTGCTAACTCAAAGCAGTGATTTGAAAGGGGCAGTTTTATGTCAATAAGTATCTGCCACTTCCTTTCTCTCCTATCTCACCCCAGCAAGGGTGGAAAAAGTCACCAGTAAATCTTAAGGTCGCAAAAAAGACTCCACATTAGTAGGTATTATTATTTATTTTTATT